AATGGCATTTTTGCAAATAGTCAATCCATTATGGCATTTTTGAAAAGTGGCACACCAAAAATGAAATTTTTACAATTGTCCATAATATTTATATGTATCAAGTGACAAAAACAATGTTATTATTATAAACTCTTGGATGAAAGTAATCCATTTTATCCCTTTAGTTATAGATTTTAGAAAAGCCAACAAAACATGAACCTAATTTTGGTTTAATATTTAAAAGAAATACAACATCAATAAAGTTTTATTCAATTTTTTATTGAGTTAATGCATGTTTAGGGGCTAACCGGTAAAAATTACTCAAATTTAATAGATACATGAACTGAATATAAAAATTATGAAAATAAAAGAGATCAGAAAAAAATTATTTTTCCTAAACCAGAAAAAATATTAAATAGAAAACTAGAATAGAATATTTTACATTATAACTAAGGAAATAAAAATTAGGAGGAATATAATTTTTTTCATTAATTTTTTTTGACCAAGTAAATGGAAACATTTTAAGGAGGAGTGCCATATTCAACAACAACAAAATCAAAGACTCCAAGATTCTGGGTAAAAATGACAGTTTTTAAAAGTCAATAGCTATCGCGAAAAATAAATAGAAATAGGAAGCTATATCAATGATTTATACACATCATATTTCGTATATATATATGTGTTGAAAACCATATACATACACATACTACCTTACATTCAATAGACTAAATCATCATTTCAAAATGGTATACACCTCAACTAGAGTTTTCTAATAACTTAAATTTTCTAATAACTTTTTGTTTTTTGTTGTAGGAAATTATATTACGTGTTGTGCTTTTCGTAAATTTTCTATATTTTGGTTTCGTAAGAGGTGGAGACTATAGTGTGCTTAATTTTGGTGGGAAAGGAGATGGTGAAACCGATGATTCGGAGGTAATTATACTTTAAAATTTTTCTCTCTTGTTTTTTATAGCGAAGCGAACATATTTGAAATTAATTTGTATGTTCTACCGTTTTTATTATTTTGTCATAACTTTATAATAATTTGTTCATATTTCTTACCATTTTGAATGAATACATCTCATGAGAATATAAAGGCATTCATAAAAACATGGAAAACTATGTGTGGAGATGAAGGAGACACAAAAACACTTATAATACCCTCAGACCAAACTTTCTTACTTCAACCTCTTCAGTTTCAAGGTCCTTGTGGTTGTTCTATCGTCATCCAGGTACATATACACAATCATTTAGACGTGTTAGTTAGTTTATATTGATATTTTCACGTGCATTATATATGTAGCAGAATGACTTTATAAAAACACTAAAAACTTAAATAGTATTCTGAATGGAAGAAGAAAAAAGAGTGAAACGACATGAAACTCATCGATTGTTTGGCTTTAAGTTTTTTTTTTCTTAAAATTTCCAAAACCAATTTTTATCATCAATTAAAGAAAATAAATAGATAAAAAGGCATGAAAATTAATATATATTTTATAAATACAACCAATTTTGCAGATGGATGGAGACATTGTTGCACCTAGTGAAAAAAGTGAGTGGTCGTTGGATCAGAATTCTCAAAGGTGGATAAGTTTTGAAAGTGTAAGCGATCTAACCGTCATTGGTACCGGAACTATCAATGGATTTGGTTCCTCTTTTTGGGAGGTAACAATTTGTATTTAATTACCAATTTGCAATATATACACCAAAAATATATTTTTGTGCCTTAAGTTTCTTTTACATATACAAACAAGTAAACATCACCCGGTATAGTTTATATTAGGCATGTCAATTAGGGTCAAAGCCCGAAATCCGGTCCGGCCCAATCCTTAAAAATACCGGACTCGGGCCTGAATATATAAGCCCAAAAAAAATCGGGCCTTTCGGGCTCAACCCATTCAGGCTATTGAGTTTTTGGGCTTTAGCCCGATTGGATTCGGGCCGCCCCGGAAAGCCCGAAA